AGCTCTCTGGAGAAGGCTCTAATGCTGGGAAAGGTGGAAGGAAAGAGAAGAAGAGGATGACCAACAGTGGCGATGGATGCGCAATTGGAAGACTTGAAGGACCAGGTTAGATTGTTGTTGAGAAAATATGTGTCACTAAGAGTCGACACTGACTTGACAGCATTCAATCAATCAATCAATCAATCAATCAACCACATTAAACTACCAAGCTGCCAGTGAACTTTTTGTCCTCTCACATCACATCTTTCAGAGAATAAATTCACAACCCATTTGTACTTGTTTACACCAGAACAAAATTCTAGGTGGAGAAAGAACAAATTCCTAGCCAAAGAGAGAGAGAAAAAGAAAAATCTTCCAGGATTAACTTATTATTGAACACATTTCTTTCCCTTAATGAGCCAATTTGGTTAAAAGAAATGCTTTAAGGCATTCACAAATGCTTTAAAAGCAGTAGATCCTCTGGTGTATATCTCAAGATGCAGCCAATAGAGAAATTTCATTGTCCATTGGGGAAAAAAATAATTTGGCACACCCATCATTATACCAGTATAAGCAAAATCCATTAAAATAAAATACATCAGAGACACAGAAGAGCTCTCTGTAATATGGTGTCAGATCAATGGAACTGCTGCTACACAGTTTAAGAGTTTCGGGAATCTTCATTTCTCCCGGCTGAATTAAGAAATGCTAATAGAAATAGGACTAGTTGAGAGTGGCAGTGCACCAGAGCAGGTCACTACAGAAGACTTTAAAGGTTAATGAGTAAGAATCCAGCAGAAGATGGAGGGTTTCCACATATAAACTGACAGGCCTATGAATATAATTATTATCTGTTCCAAGGAAAATTTGAATATATTCTGGGCATATATACATATAAAAAAACTAGGTGTTTGAAACAGGACACAGGCCCCCTATAGCAACTTTACATCATATTTGCATAGTGTAATTTGTAGGCAGAGATGCAAACAAAGGCCAGCTTTGAAAGGGCAGGGGAGTCCAAAGTCTCTTGACCTTTCAGAATAGTGGCATGAAGTTTAGGCAACTCACCTTACCTCTTTTCCTTCTCACCTCTCTGATTATGCCTCTCCCTTTTTCCTTAGTCAGAGGTGTGCAAATGTTTTTGGGGGAAGGCTAAGGGTCACATCTGGCCTTGGAATAGCATGCCAGGTCAAAACCTACATTTGATATAAATTCAATACAGTGTTTAAATCATCTCCTTTTCTCACATAATTACAACTTGACAGCATTCTGGGTACACCAAACTCATGCTGTTTGGGGGACAGTGGGAAATGTTGTCTGAATACATCCAGAAGGCACTATATTGAAGGTAGCTGTTAAAGGGGATTTTTCAGATTCCTGTTCAACAGTATAAAGATGCTCTTGAGTAAAATAAATTCCTGGTGATTTGTGGATGCAATCAAGCCATTTTCTTGGCAATGGTACACAAGTGTTTTGTTGCTTTCTTCTAGGATGTGTTTTGACTTCCCATTCCTAGCATATAGTTGTCAGAATTTTCTGGTGGTCTCCCATTCAAGTACTTACCAAGTCCAACCTTGCTTAGCTTCTGACCCCAGACAAGACTGCTAAGATGTGAGAGGCAGAATATACTTGAAAAGTAGGAAAGGGCCAAAGGGCAGTTACTTTGGACCAGTCAGGTAATTTTTCCCCAGACGAAAAGGAGAACTGGTCAATGAGCAGTGCAGCCTAAAGGAGGAGGACACACTTGCTTTGCTGAATAAATTGCATGTCCCAGAAACTGAGGAAAGTCCTAGAAGGCAGAGGTGTTACCCCCACCAATGGGGGCACAGTAATGTATTAAATCTTCAGGAATCCCAGACAACAGTGGCTTAGGCAGCCTCTGGAACAAAACTCCTGAAGGTTCCAGTAGTGCTAGGATCTTACCAGCCAAAGGTGGTCTTCAAACTGTGCCACCTGCCCCAATGTCTTTTTTGGGGCCTAAACTTGTTCTGACAACTCCTCCAACCAAAAGTTGGGTTTTTAAAGTATAACTTTGGGGAAAACAAAACAAAAATCAGGAAAAGGATGGTTGCTAAGGTCTTGCTGAAGATAGTTGGATCATAAAGTCTTATTAATCTATATCACTTGTTGCATAGCAATATAATTCTACCCTACCTTCATTCCTTGTAACAATGGAATCAAGAATCACCCAAGAAATTATGTGATGGGAGTTTTAGGAGAAAAGTACTTCTTAAACTTTGGAATATTCTACTGCAAGATGTAGTGATAGTCACCAACTTGGACAGTTTCAAAAGCAGATAGAGATAGAGTAGAGATAGAGAGATAAAGATAGAGATAGAGAGATAAAGATAGAGATAGAGAGATAAAGATAGAGATAGAGAGATAAAGATAGAGATAGAGAGATAAAGATAGAGATAGAGAGATAGAGATAGATAGAGATAGTTGGCTATTACAGTATCTCTATATTAAAGGCCACATAGCTCCAAATTCCAGTCACTAGGACATATACATGGCAGGGTGCTAATGCACTTATGTCTTCTTGATAAGCTCCTAGGAGGTATCTGGCTCACCACAATGGGAAGAGGTTGCTGGACCAGACTTATCCAGCACAGCTTTAATGTTATCCTTATTATTTCTCAGCATTAGTACTGAAGAGTGTAAACCATCCCAAATTCAAATATTCTAGATTGGAGGATCAATTTACAGTATTTTCTTACAGAGCTGGGTGAAGGCCTTGGCAAATGACCTTCTGTTGCTAAAGCCAACTTTGAACTGCTACAAGTCTTTGGACTTCTGCTGACAATGGTAGTGAGACCAAAGTGTAACTGTTTCCATAGTTCACTAATTGGAATGTATGATTTTTTTTTTTTAAACAATGTTGAAAAAAATATTTCAAAAGATGTCCTGGCCAATGTGCAAGAGCTTGTATGAAGTTTCTGAAACAGTGGCACAAGCCTTGAAAAAGACATGGGGGCTTTAATGATTTCCAAGAGGTGCTTTGAATGTTTGTTTTTTTTACTGACATTATTATTATTATTATTATGTGGCCTTTGAGCAAAACTGAGACTAAAAGGGAATGCTTTAAGGTCAGAACACCTCATTTTAGAAACCTGCCATTGAGTATACCTAAGCATCTCAACCAAGCAAATTGTGTTTAAGGAAAATCTTCGCAGAGCAGTGCATGAGCTGAAGCCCTAGTGAATGCGGTAGTTCTGGTGTATCAGAATTCCTTATCTCTAGTTCCTCACCTTCCAAAGGAGGGGCAAAAAATATTTGATAAAAGGCAGATGCTGTTGTCTGAATTAGAGATTCTGAGATGCCTAGTTCTCTCCTGCCCTCTAGTGGGCTTATCTACAAATTTATATAAATTCAAAGATATCCCCCCCCCCATATGTTCTAAAATGACCCCCTCCCCATACGTTCTACAATGAAGCTAATTTATTGTGACAGCCCCTTCCATACCAGAGAACCAGCTCCATCAGGAAACACAACACTTATTTGGAGTTGTAAATGACGAAGGTATTGGATCCTGTTGCGAATTCTATATATGATGGCCCAAAAAAGTACAGGTACTTTCGTTTAGCATCTACAATTGGGACTGGCTACTTGGTTGTTAAGCAAAGCAGTTGCTAAGTGAAACTACAACTGGGCTTACAGTCTTACTTCAGCTTTCCTTTGCTTTACAGACCTGCGAAGGTCGTAAATGCGAGGATTTGTTGTAAAATTACTTTTTCATCACCATCCTAACTGCAAACAGTCTCTAAAAGAGACAGTTACTAAATGAAGGCTACCTGTAACTCCCATTGGGTCTAACAGGCTTATTCCCAGCAAAGTTAATATAGGATTGCTGTGTTGATTTGTCATGCTTTAATTTCCTTGAAATCAATGGGACATGCATGATTAATTTGGTCTGCATCTGACCCGTCTTAATCAATCCCTTTTTTTGCAGGGAAGGGCCAAAAACAAAATAGGCCGCACTGGCTTACTTTTATATGCAAACTAGCTAGTTTAAATCACTCAGTCTTTACAGACTTAAATACCCTTGTCGCAATACAGCACAATTGTTAACCATGTTTGTTTAAAAACTCTGGAATGTTTCTAGTGGAATCCGAGGAAAGGGACAAAGGGGCAGTCTGAGCTTGCCCTATTGGAAGAGAACATCCAAGGAGCAGGCGTTATCAGTAGTCTCCCTCTCCAGTAAGGTATTCCAGGCACCTACTTCTGTTCTCTTTCCTGCACAAAAGGTATTTTTATTCTGCCAGTCTTTTTAATATGTTAATGTGCTACCATTTTCTCGTATGCTGCAACAGAACCTTTAAAATACTATCTGCTGTTGCAATGTTTATTTTTTATGTTATGTATTTTTAGCTACTGTTTTTAGGGTCACGAGGGGAGGACAAATGGTGCAAGCCTATATTGGAAGGGAGGG